AATCTTCAAATTATGGTGCCCTCTTGTAAGAACATAAAGGTGTAGCCCTAAATAATACGCCATGTGCTCAACTTCAGGATCCCCATCCTCGGTACTTGAAGAATGTGTAAGACATGTTTCAAAAGGATCCTTAAAAAGTCCACATAAAGAATCGGTCACCACAGGATCAACAATATCCACTTGAAGACACGAATCAGATTCCGCGGGATACTTGATGGCCTTCCAGATATTGAAAGTAACTTGTTCGTCTTGGACCCTCAAGATGAGTTGCTTCTCTTACACGTCAGTTAACACTAGGCTCTTGGAACCTTTTATATTAATGGTTCTGGTTTACTTTACTTGGCTATTAACACTAAGCTCTTGAACAAGTCCATCTTCTTCAATAGGTGCCTTGTCGGATTGAGTCCTTGAGATTTTGGGTAGGGATGGCAATGGGGACGGGGGCCGGGGGCCCCTCCCTAGTTACTCGTTTAAGGGGAGGCGGGGTCCTTGCCCTGTTTACTACCCTTTTAAATTTTTTTTCTAGTTTTTGATAATTTATTTTTATTGCCTATATTCATTAGATTTAGGCATATAATTTTAGTTTTTACTCCCTATTAGAACTAATGAAATTTTGTGAAAAATTTCATTTAAAGTATTGAATTCTAAAAAAAAAAAAAATTAAATGGGCGGGGCCCCCGATAACCGGCCCCCCCCCTGGGGGCCAATTACCCGTCCCCGCCCTAAACCCACCCCGAGGAAAAATTTCCCACCCCGAATACCCTATTAATCGGGTTATTCCCTCCCCGTTTGGGGTGGGGCCCTGCGGGTATCGGGTTTGTTGGATTTTTTTGCCATCCCTAATCTTGGGCAATTGCAGCCACTCCTTATGGTAATAGCTTGCACATTCTCTCTTGGATTTAATTCGGTATTTCTAGGAAAATCCCCTTGTTACCTTTTGGAGAGAAGTTTAGCTATTTGAACCACTTAATGTTCCAAATTTTTCATAGCGGCGTTATTGCGTTCTTGGTATTGCAATTGATGATTTGTTAATTTAACAATAGCCTCTTCCCATTCATCTTTCTTCTCTTGTGGTCTTGGATTTAATACATTGTGGTTGTTCCCATAAGAGAGATTTGGATTATTTCGCAAATTGGGGTGCTATGATTGAGGATATGGATTGTACCATTGACGTTGAAAATTTTGAGCATATGCTACTTGGTCAATGGATGTCAAACCACTATCCGTCAATGGACAACTCGGTCTCAACTGATTTGCTTCACAAATATCACAAATAGGCGAAGATTGTGTCATATGTGCGGAATGAAAGCTAGAGGTAGATGTAGAAAGTCCTTCCACATTCTTTGCTAAGGAGTCGATCTTTTCTAAGACTATTGAAAAAGCCACCATCTCGAACTCCACTAACTCATCTTTGTAAATGCCTAATTGGCCACATAACACTTTTCTCACTCATGACTTCAAATAAATCATATGCTTCTCCGATGCTCTTATTTTGTATTGACCCATTTGAAGATAAATCTACATTTGAACGGTAAGAAGGAGTCAAACCGACGTAGAAATTTTGGAATTGTTGTGTTATAGTGATCCCGTGATTTAGGCACTTTCTAAGCATGTCTTTAAACCTCTCCCAAGCCTCATGAAAGCTTTTTATGTTGACTTGTAGGAACGTGATTATATCATGCTTGAGCTTACCCACTCAAGTGGGTGGAAAGAACTTGGTCGTGAATGTTTGCACCAATCCACTAAACCCTAACGGTGAAGTGTCAATCCACTCTCTCCCCTTACCTTTCAAAGTATGTACAAATAACCTCATCTGGATTGCCTCCACACTCACCCATTCATAATTGAAGTTGCTAGCAACTTCCATGAACTATGCAACGTGAGCATGTGGGTTTTCATCAATTTTCCCATAAAATGATATGGTGTTGGAGAACAAATTAATAACATCTAGTTGAAGTTGAAAGTTCAGATGCCCATAAGAAGGGTAGATGATACTTGTTTGATTTTCCACCATAGGACAGTTTAGAAAATCTTGAAATAACACGTCCTCCTCATTTACCATGGGATTTTAAGCTCTACCCATTTGGTTATTGAAGCCTGGAGGAATGCTACCCTTTGGAACATTTTCGGGTTGAGCATTAGGCTCAACAATGCCTCTTCATTGTTCCATGTCAAGTTATCCTAGTTGAGTCATCTCAAGTTGTTGCCTTCTAACTTCTTGTTGTTCCATTAACCTTCATCGAAATGGCTCTTTGATTTTCAAAACAAATTCTACAAGATCAAGATTTCGCGACCGATGCATGCAATATCGAAGACGTAGGAAAATAAAAATTGAGAAGTCAACTTCACTGTAGCGAGAAATAAAAATAAAATAAAAATAACTGAAATGAATAACAACTAAACTGGAAATCAAAATAAAAAACCACCCAACAATGGCACCAAAAACTTGTTCTCTATAAAAGTGCAAACTGTAAGTGCACGGGTCACGCTCAAGTAATAAAATGGAGTTTGAGTCCGAGTTGATCCCTTGAAGAGTGTTTCTTCTAATTACACGATAATTGATTCAAATTAACGATAAAAATACACACAATTTGATTTTGAGTTGAAAATAAGAAAAAACGATTCTAAAGATTAATTAAACTAACAAGAATAGAAGTGACAAAATTTTGGATTTTAAATGAGTTGAGATTTAAGATGTCACTTGACCATCTTTTCTTTAATATTGCAATAGACCGAAAATGCAAATTACCAAGTTACAATGTTAGACCCAATTTTTCCAATTTTAGTTAATTACTTCTCTCGAAAGAAATTAACCCTAATAGATTGGTTTTACCCACTATATCTCTACGTTGAAATGAAAACCAACCAATCGAATCAAATCGTAGTGAAAATAACTTAGTGGGTCACCTAGGATTTGGAGTATATCTCTATCTCCTAAAACAATCGAGGACATTAATTATTTTGGTCAAGAATGCACAACAATTTCTCAAAAATTGCAGAAACCATCTAACTTAATTATCTATTGCCCACATACATGATGAAAATTTAAGCACAATAATAAATTCACAATAACAATAGTAATTTCACTACTAGAAAAGGAAGCAACATAAACGGAATTTTAGCGACGGACAAATTCTGTTGTTATTATTGACAGAACAACAACAAATTAGCAACGTATTAATATTATATTACTTTTATAAAATAAATATTAAATTCCCGACGGAATTGGCAACAAAATTTTTTCGTTAGTATAATTCTGTTACTATTCTGTTGGTAAAATTTTTAAAAAAAATTAATTAAATAATTTAGCAACGGAATTTTCTAACGGTTGATTCTGTTGAAAATTATATAAAATAATAAAATAATTACCTACGGAATAAATACTTGTGGGTAAACTTTGAAAGTAGAATTTAAAATTTATTATCCCACTACCCATTAAAACCCTAGATCTTTCCCTCTCCAATCTCGTCACCTCTCAACCCTTCACCATTTACAACGATTTCGCCGCCCCTGGTTCACGGCTCCATTGAATCCTCAATCCGCCTCCTTCCTTCACATCCTCCGCCTCCGCCTTCACGTCCTCTGCCTCCGCAGAAGAAGAAGGTGATTAGGAATTAGGATTTAGGTGAAGGCGTGAAGCCTCACTGCCCTCGCCTGCTCCGTCGTGTCTCGTTTTCCCTTGCTTATTTTTTTTTTAATTTTGATTTGTGTAAATTGTAATAATGTTTGTTTTTGTTAGAAATAAAAAAGCTGCTGAGTCCAAATTGCTAGAAATAAAGGAGTGGAAGGAACGCCTTGGACGTTCAACTAGAGCCTCCGCATTATCAACTCCAGTTGAGGCAGGGGAAGAAGATCTGCTTGATGATGATGTAGAAGAAGAAAGAGAGGTCAGTTGTTTCACTTGGGAGTTCTTGTCCTGTGCCCCTGAGAAGTATTGTATTCTGGCTCCTTTCAATGTGTCGTGACTCATTATTTTTATTTTTTATGGTATATGCTCCCCTAATTTACTCCCTAACTCTGACTTTCTATCACAAGAAACAAATCTATGTTAGCTGTTTTACATGATGGTAGAAGGGACAGTTTAAAAACAATTTATTTTAACAATGGTTTTGAGCTTCTGTATTGAATGGGCTTCTTCTTCCGCGGCTCAACTGGTTGCTTGTTTACTCGGGAAATGCTTGTTGATGTCCAAATTTACGGATGTCCGAGCACCACTTGGTTCCTCTTGTGAAATTGCATCCTTGTTATATATCAAGCTTATTTTGACAAACTTACTATCTCAAGTAGACTATTTTATATAGATGTAAGTGCTACATTGTGTGCTTAAAGGATTTAAGATGATAAATTTCATCCATTTGTATGGTTGTTTACACCCTCGTTGTAATTCTGACTTTTTGCTGAATCTTATTATTACTGTTTCTGTAGGCATGGCTGGCTACAATATCCTTGGTGCTCTGTAAGGTTGGTCCAAATTTTCAGCATCTTCTGTGCCATCCCAGCAGCTGCTATTTTCTGTTTTTTATGTTCTTCTGTGAAGAGATTTGCTTGTATGATCAAAGTGATTTAAAGGTGAATGAGAAATTTGATGATAAGTATTGATAAGAACACGACAGTGAAAAGGTTGAATGATTTCTGTACTCACTTATAATTGTTACGATACATAATCAAATTATACAATAATATCCCATAATACCCGGGATTTCTACAATAAGCACTTTGCTAAGCAAAGTACTGTAATTGAATTAGTTTTTTCTTTAGGTGATTAGTTTTATATCTAATAGGGGTAACTTGTACTTTGATTATAAAAAATTGGATTAGTTTCTTTACAACCTGATTTCTAAACTTAACTGAAGGCGAGTCACTTATTATTATATGGAAGTGGCATTTATAAGTTGTGTTGATATTTCTGTTAATGGAAGAACTATTAAAGATGATTATAGTTTGATGCATTTTGTGTGTGTTCAGGTCAGGGAGTAGAGGAATCTGGTTAGTTTCTTCCAATGACTGCATCTGGAGCTAGAAACATAAGGCTACCACTGATGAATCTTGTAAGACTAAAAGGAGTAACAATTTTACAGCAATTACATCTTGAGGATAGACTGCTTCGAAAGTCATCTGATAACTGGTGCATCATCAATGATGGAACATATGACCTAACTATTGTCATGGGTATATCAGGGTCTGTAAGTTATGTTTGAAATTGAAATTCCTTTTTGTTGCTATACTCTTTTTCCATTTGTGCAATAGTACTTGATCCAACTGTCGCTTGAAGATAGAAAACTCACAAAAATTGAGATGGAAAATTCAGTTAGCAGGTGATTAATAGAAAGATCTTAATGCTTCAAGGTTCCTTAATTTATGAATGCTATTACTAAGCAACATGTTCCAATATTGGCTATTTACATCATGTTAGGAATTGATTTATTCATTATGCTCCTTCAGGGCCCTTGCTTCCTGACAAAACCAAGCTCAGCCTTCAGTAGCTGAGGCATGGTCTGCTGAATTTGGATGTGTATATTATACAGTCCATGTAATCTGCTGTCATGTATTGGTTCATTCAATTATATCTTGTTTGAGATGTTTATTGACACGGATAAGGATTATAATTATCGAGCTTGATATATCTTTATGACTTGCTAGTATATTGTTACTTGTTTTAGGTTTTGTCAGTTTGATTGTGCACTTAAATCTCTTGTTTCTAAGATAATCAATTCAGGCTTTTAGGCTTAGCAGAGCCCAGGGAGTCTGGTTTTGACAAATGTTGTCATGATTATATCATCATGACATTGATCATTTGCAAGTTATGGATCTATCAATGTATACTAACAGGATGAAATTGATGCATGTTACATGTTTTTAATAGGAAACATGTGGAACTTCTTGAAATTGACTCTGTTTTACAAGATGAAATTCCTGTTATCCGAAGGTTTACTGGAGGAGGGAGGTAATGTTATTGTTGATCAGGGGACAATGTTTGTCACATTTATATGCAATAAGGATGCAGTTCCAGGTTTACAATCATATCCTCGACCCATCATGTCATGGAGCAGCCTAGTGTATCAAAAAGTATTTCAACGAATTTTGGGGATTTTAGCCTTTGTGAGAATGGTGTGTGTAGCATCATGTAGCCTCTAAAAGTGTCTTCAATAGTTGGACGAATTATTCTTGTAATTTAGTTTCATTTTATGTTGTTTTGAAATTTAAAAATTATGTAATTAAAGAGATATATTTGTAATTTTATGTAAATTGTTAATTAGTCTTTACATTAAAAATTGAATGTCATCATTATATATATATATATATATATATATTCATTTTTTTTTAAAATTTTAAAAGGCATTAGCGACGGAAAATTTGTAGGAAGTCTATTGCTGATTAGCGACGGTATTTCAATCCGTTGGTATTTTAGCGACACCATTTTTCGTCGGTAAAATTACCGGCGGGCGATTTACTAACAGATTTATCAACGGGATTTTTCCGTCGCTAAAGCCGGTTTGCAACGGAAATCAAGGCTTCAGAGATGGAAAATTCCGTCTCTGAAGCCGTGTTTTTTTGTAGTGTTTTAGCATTTAATGTTAAATACTGATATTAACGAAACTTAAGTCAAGTTACACCATAAATCCCAACTTTAAACACTAAACCCATTGCAAAATAGAGACAGAAAATGGAAATGAAGAAAGAACCCATTACAAAACGAAGGAGATAATGGAAAATACAAGATAGTAAAAGAAAACTATCTCTTGAATATGGGGCTGCACATGGTTCGGTTGGGTTCGGTTAACTGAACCAAACCCAAATTTTTGGGTATTTAGCAAATGAAATCATAGGATCCAAATTTAATTATGGAACCGTTCGGATTTGGTTCACAGGTTTCCATACAATAATCAAATTTTTTGATATTTACAACGGTACATGAATTCAACTAATGACATATTCAGTTTTAGCTCTTACAAATAACGTAATCCAATCTTGTGATATCTTTCATGCCTTTCTTGGTTGAGTTCTCCATAAATTTGGCAGTTAAAATTACAGTACGAGGAAGATAGAGAGCTCACAATAATAAAGAGAGGCTTTCAATTTGATTTCTTCAGGCAAAAACAAAAATACGGTAGAATAAGAGATCTTGGTAAAATTTAGGTCAATTTGATTAATTGGACTTGAGCTGAAAATTAGGAATAGGAAAATCATATTTTGGGTTTGGGCTAAATTGATTAGTTAGTAAATTTATTTTTAAAAAATAAAATATTTTGGCTTATTTAAGATAAAAAAAAAAAAAATTAGGGATATTCGGTTCTTGTTCAGTTTTTTGGTTCTTGGTCTAGAATCGAGAATCAATTCGAACCGGTCAATCGTTCGGGTATTTAATTTAAGAAGAACCACTTGATTTGTTTCGATTCAGTTAGGTTCGATCGGTATGGTTAGGGAGTTTTGTCCAACCCTACTTGAATATATTCTTGAAGATATGAGGGATTGAAATCTTGAATCTTTCTTTCAAACTTCCAAATTTTGTTAGGTATTATTTTCTTCTTCTTGCCTATTTTCCCCTCTTTGATGAATTATGGATGTGGAGACATGAGTTATCCTTAGAAGTGGTTGAAAAATTGTATTTGAAGGGTAAAAAATCCGTCCCAAGCGATATTGCAGAAGAAGTCATGAATTTTTCGCGAAGCAAGCAAAATCGCCTAGCATGGTTAACTGGGTGATCACCCAACTTTACCTGGGGCAATCGCTCAGTTGAGGTTGGGTGACTCTACCCATGTTCGCTCGTCCCATTTGGAGTCGGGCGAGCGTCCACTCTTTTTTTTTCTTTCTTTCCATTTCAGTCCTCCACTATTTACATACCAGGTCCTTCAACTTTCATCTTGCAAATATTAGTCTTTGAATTCTGACGTTCATTTCAATTATGCCATTTATGAATTGCATCCAAGGTCCTTCATCTTTTGGCAATTGTGCAATTTGGTCGCCAACTTCACACTTTTGTATACTTTTGGTCCCTTTTTCTTTCATTTAGCTTTCTTCTCCTCCATTTGAGATTTTAACCTGCAAAAGCCACTATTATACAATTGTGAATATGAATTCACTCAATTTCATCGATAATAAGCTTGTTGAAGTATGTAATATGTGTGTAAAATTACACTTAACACAATGCTCTATATATTGACCTCAGATATTCTTTCAATTCAAAACCTTTTTACGAGTGATGTTCTTTAAGTCTAATTATACTTGTCGTCTATTGATTGCAATATGTTTTTTTAAGGGAAGCTGAAACTTTGATAATAAGCTCTTGTAATTCCAAGGCATATGGGTCACAGAGAATCTCCTTGAGGCACTCGGGCATAAGGGAATCTGAAGTTGATGATTGTCCTCTAATATATTTCGAAGCATATAGGTCGGAGAGAATCCTCTTGAAGTACTTAGGTCGGAAGGACTCTGAGGCGTACAGAAATGGATTCTCTTTGTTCCGGAGCATTTATGTTGGAGGGAATCCAAAGTTTAGATATTTTAGTTGACTGGGGATATTCTTTCAGTCCTCTAGATTCTATCGATTAGAGATATTATTTCAATCCCCAAGTGTTTCAACTAGAGGCATTGATATTGTTTACCGGTCATAGATATTTTTTCAATTCTTGAGCGTTGACTCACATAGGTCAAAGGAGATAAGTCTACTTTTAGTTCTTAGCTTAATTTCCTTTCCAATGCTATATAAAATTCATCAATGAGTTAATGGAGACATGTCTCAGTATGTGCTTGGCTCACTCATTAGATCTTTGAATAGAGTAGGCAATAATACTCAATGACTTAATGGAGGCAGGCCACAATAAGTCCTTGACTCCTTCACCTAGTCCTCGAAAAGAATATAGTTAGCTCGTGCATGTCAAAGAAGGTAACTTCACTTTGGGTTCTTAGCTTAACTTTTCGAGTGAGGCTGTTGTAATATGATCCTTCTGCAAAGTGAGGAATATGTGGAACAATCTTCTACCGACCATTCTGTTACTCTAGGGTTTTGTCCACGAATAGTGAGCACTTATGGGCTCGTCTTCAACATGATAACTACCAATGAAAGCTGGCCTTTATTAATAAATAAACCACGAGCTAGTCTCGGGTGAGCTGCAACTTACAACTTCTCTCTATCCTAGGCATCAAAGATAATCACGAGTCGAGGTCCAAAGGCTTACCTCAAATAAACGAAGGCTTACAATTGGCTTACGTGTTGCTTCAACAGTAGAGATAAT